GAGTTGTGTTGGTCTTGGCAGATTTTGACCGGTTCGGTGATATGACCGGCTCGGTGATAGAGTACGTTATCCTTGCTATTAGAAGAGGTGTTAGAGTTACTATTGTCAGATGCTCGTACTGTGAGCCAGAGTATGTGCTTGACGAGATCTTAGGTGGTATGATGATTTATTGATGATTATGATGATGATGTCTGTTGTCCGCCTCGTGCTGACCGCTACGGGATTGAAGGGGGCAGGAATTGGCGCTGTTCGCGGCCGCCTGTGTGCGGGCCAATCAGGAGTTGCCCGGTCTCGCTTAATCGACCAGGCAACTGCTGATTGGCTGCGCGACAGGTCCCTGCTTGGTTGCGCAGATCCGACCTCTCGCCGCTCGCTCTTATCTGACAACAACAGCCACAGCTGCAAAATTTCTCCACAAAAAAAATAACAATAGAAAGTCTCACATGGATCCATGGATCACTCTACTAAAAAAATCCTGTAATACCAGCATTTGTGTGTGGCTTAGTAACCTTATTTTTGTAAGTATTGTCATGTGGGTGCTGCGGCGCGTCGACCAAACAGGCGCGTCGAGTGCACGGGCACGGTACCGGTAGGTACGGCGGGCGGTTTGTCGCCAAAAGTTGGAAAGTTTGGATGAACGTGCACGCGAACAAGAATGTGAACGAGAATGTGAAGGTGAACTCGCCACCATTCAGGGCAAATCATCGCCCATTCGCCCATTCCTCCGTCCGATGCCGTACCCTCTCACGCTGGGCAGCGTGCTACTACGGACCCAGCGAACAGCCCTCCCCCGCACATTCTGGCGCAGCAAATCCATCACCGCGGCCATTGAGAAGGGCAGGGGCAGCGGCCCAGACAGATTCTCAGGCCCGCGACCGGGCAGCTACACGCGAACCAGCGTCCGCAATGACGAGGCAGTTGCCTCGCGCTACGAGGACAGAGAGGGCGGCAGGTCGCGGCCGTCACGCAGCAAGTCGTCCATCGGCGCACGACGCCGACGATGGGAAGACGAAGACGCTGCGCCCCGACGGAAAGAGCTGAGGAAGAGCGGCGGGAGGCCCGACGAGTCTGCTGTCGATCGCCGCATCCGAGACCAGGACCGTGAGAGGCCCGCGAGGTTCGACCGTGAGAAGCCCGCGAGGTCCGACCGCGAAGAGCTCCCGAGCAGATTCGCCGGCCGGCCGCCCCGTGACGCCTGGTCTGCAGCAAGAGACGCACCTCGACCAGGCCGCGAGGGACGCGAACAGAGCGACAGGCCGCCGCGGAGAGCGGAGAGGACTTTTGACCGCGACGAGAGAGCACCTCGCGGGAACAGAGACGGCAGAGACAGAGACGGCAAAGACAGAGACGGCAAAGACAGACACGGCAAAGACAGACACGGCAGAGACAGACACGGCAGAGACAGACACGGCAGAGACGGCCGAGACGACTTCCAAAAGGACGACAGGCCGCCGCGCAGACCACAGCGCAGTTTCGACCCCGACTCCAACCCCGAGGGGCGCTCTCTCCGCCGCGACCGCTCCGCTCGCACCGCCCAGCCCGACCGCTCCTCGCGCTTTGACCGCATGGACCGCGTCGACCGCACTGGTCGCCGCTCCGAGCACACTGACGGCCGCTCCGAGCACATTGACGGCCGCTCCGAGCACATTGACGGCCGCTCCGAGCACACTGACGGCCCCGAACGCTCGATCCCCTCCCGCGCCGATCCCCGCGACCGCGCCCCCGACTCGCTGCCCTTCACCACCGCCGCCAGCGAGTTCATCTACGGCTACTCCAGCGTGCTCGCCGCCATCCGCGCCCAGCGCCGCCAGTTCTACAAGCTCTACGTCAACTCGCGCGGCCTGAACCGCGACATCCTCCTCGCCCGCGCCAAAGCCGCCGACCTGCGCCAGATCACCCGCGAGGTCGGCGACCAGTACGACCGCGCCTTCGACAAGGCGTCGTCGGGGCGTCCGCACAACGGCTTCATCCTCGAAGCCTCGCCGCTGCCCGTCCCGCCCATCACCGAGCTCCAAGAGTGCGTCAAAGAAAGCGGCCAATTCAACGTCGTCCTCGGCCCGCAGACGAAAGAAGAGCTCGCCGTCAACGGCAGTCGGACCGCATACACGTCCAAGTCCCCCTCCCGCTTCCCGCTCGTCCTGTACCTCGACGGCATCCTCGACGAAGGCAACCTCGGCGCCATCGCCCGCAGCGCCTACTTCCTCGGCGTCGACGCCCTCGTCACACCAACCCGCCAGTCCGCGCCGTGGTCGCACATCGCCGTCAAAGCCAGCGCCGGCGCCGCCGAAGCAATCCCGCTCTTCCGCGTCGCAGAGCCCGCCGACTTCCTCGGCCGCGCGAGCAGAAACGGATGGCGCTGCTACGCGGCCGCGGCCCCCGCGCCGCGGCCCAAGGACGAAAAGGAAAGCACGACCGACATCGTCTACACCCAGGCCCGCAGCGGCAAGGTGCTGCACGCCCACACCCCCGTCCTCGAACACCCCACCATCCTCATGCTGGGCGCCGAGGGCGCGGGCCTGCGCTCCAGCCTGCTGAATCTAGCGCACTACAACGTCGGCATCCGGCACGGCAGAAATGTCGACGAGGTTGGTGTTGATTCGCTGAATGTCAGTGTTGCTGCAGGGCTGTTGTGTCATGACATCCTCGCGAACAAGGCGGCGAGTCTTGAGCGGGACCCGGAGAATGTCGTTTTTCAACTGTGATTCGCAATCGACGTTGGACATGAGATGAGCAGTGTACGATAGTTGTATATGAATAAGACGATAGCAGGCTGCGCTGACGCAGCGCCCCCAGAACATCAGTCCCCGGTCTTGCCATTCTGTCTCCCGAGCTGGAGACTGAAACCGCTCGAGGATCCGCGTAGGTGTTTATCAGAGCGTCCAGGATCCGCGTGTGTGTTTATCAGAGCGTCCAAAAGGAAAATCGCTTCAAGACAGTGCTCCTGCTTCTTCTTCCATCTTTCAATGTTTACAGGGCCGGACTTGCAGGCCCAATTCCAAGTGGGCGATCCGTCAAAAGGCCAGAAAGCCTGTGCTTGGTTCGTGTTTCGTCCGGCACACAGCTGTCCAGCTCTCGAAAGCGATTGTGCTGGCGAGCGATTGCGCCTTCCGACGAGAGGCGGAGTTCTTCTCCCTCTGGTGCGGATGCTCTGAGGACCTGGAATGGCCTGCGACTCCGTTTTGGCGGATCTGTGCTGGTGCTCCGCGACGGCATGGAGATTTCGGCTGCTCTTTTTCTCTTACGCTGTCCCTGGTCGTGTGGGATTCAGAGGTACCGCGCTTCGTTTGGTGCGGGCTTCTTTTGTCTTTGCTTCGTGACGTGTCAATCTGAGAGCGAAAAGAGAAACGTCTCTGTGTTCCTACCCGCGAAAGAAGTGTCTGTGTTTCTACCCGCGAAAGAAGTGTCTGTGTTTCTACCCGCGAAAGAAATGTCTGTGTTTCTACCCGCGAAAGAAATGTCTGTGTTCCTACCCGCGAAAGAAATGTCTGTGTTCCTACCCGCGAAAGAAATCCAGCGGTTACGGCGCTCGAGGACTCTGCTCCTCACCTGGCACTATGTACGACTTGTGTCATGTTGATTGAGCTCTGGAGAACACGGCAAGAGCGTGACCTCCACAGAAATGAACTCGTAACACATCAAAGTCTTGTGCTGCCGCTCGTTGCTGCAGGACTACGTGTTTGCTGCAGGACTACATGTTTGCTGCAGGACTACATGTTTGCTGTTCGCGTCGGAAAGACTGGGTGAGATATGGCCATACATGTCCATTCCTTCTCTGCTTCGGCGTGTGCCTTGTTTTAAAACATGTAAAAAACAACATACCTCACCCAGTCCGCCCAAGTCTCAAAGTCGCAACTTGCTCGACCAGACAGACCAGACCGCCATGTCTCTTGCTCTTGCTCGTATACCACTTCACGAGACACCTGAATCGTCCAGTGTTTCTGCCCCTTAGCAGCTGCAAATCATCGAAATAGTTGACGTGAGCTGGACTGTGGCTTCTTCCTGCGGTTTTGCTGGACGCGAGGGTGTTCTGAAAGCACGGGAGAAAGCTTCCGATACTACTTTTGTCCACTACAACTTCGTCCAGACCTTAGCGGAGTGATGGACCCAAATACGCACGTTCACCCATCTGTCTGTCCAAATCGAGGATTTCATTATTTCGTGCTGGTGCTGAGGAATTGAGCAAGCGTCGCACGTACCTCTCATTTGAACGGCGATGTCGTTTTGCTGTCTCGCTAAAGTTCCCTCCACACAACGCACGCCTTTCGCCGTGACCTACTTCGTACACAGATGTAGCGAAAATTTGCAACTAGCTTGCTCGCTGATGTCTCGGATCGAACTACCCCGAGCCGTTTGCTACTTCACATATTATCAATTCGTGGGCGCCAGATTATCCGCTCGTATTCCCCGCAGCCTTACGCCATACGGTCGTGGCCCACTTTGCACGGGCGACAATACCCCATACCCCATACCCCAGAGTAGACGAGAGGCGAGTCAGTTGGTCACATGGCTTGCATTCTGCAAGTCGGTGAGTAGATCGACATGACCGTCATATAGATCATGTTTGTATATATACCTTGGCATGCATGCAATGCAATTGCTTGTTGCTGCTAAGCTTCAGGCCCAAGACCGTCGACTCACGATGCGCCATATAATATCATCGATTCTTCTCACCTCTTTTGGGCTGGCTGCCGCACATCTAACCGCCAACGAGACGTCTGCGTACCTGCAGCTTGAGAATGACAGGCTCTTTGTTTCTGTGAACAAGACCACAGGTGGCATTGACACCCTAGTTCTTGACGGGCAAGATCTGCTGGGATCCGCAGCATACATCCCATACACCCCAGGCGGCTCTTCGGGAAACGGGAGATATGGCGTTGGACCCTATCTCGACTGCTACTGCATCCCTGCAACTGGTCCATCGAGCACGGGATCGGGCTCATACACACCTGGCTCAATCGACCCGACGTATCAGCTATTCAAGGGTGTCGACACTCACAATGTTGCCTACGGCGGTGTCGTGATGAGCGAAGTGTATCCGCCCACCGGTCAGATCCTCGAGCAGTACTGGTTCCTTCGTGACGGCGAGACTGGCTTGCATACGTTCAGCCGCATCGCCTACCACAACTCGACCAGCCCGTTTCTGCGCAATCTGCAGGAGTTCAGGACGCTGTTCCGGCCCAGCACCGAGCTTTGGACAGATCTCGTCACCAACGAGGGACTTGCTGCACCCATGCCAATCCCCAATCCTGCTTCTGGAAACACGACCAACGCTGCAACTGTCCAAGACGCAACTTGGTACCTCGGTAACCGTACAGATGACCCATACGTGGAGGCATTCGCCGACTACTTTACCAAGTACACATTTGCAGCCGAGTGGCGCGATCAGACAGCCCATGGCCTGTTTGCCGACGGCTCGCAGAGCAAAGACAACTCCACCTTTGGCGCCTGGCTCGTGATGAACACAAAAGACACCTACTATGGTGGGCCAACACACTCAGACCTGGTCGTCGACGGCATCATCTACAACTACATGGTGTCCAACCACCATGGCGCAGGTACACCCAACATCACCGATGGCTTTGACCGCACATTCGGACCCCAGTACTACCACTTCAACAAGGGGCCAGCTGGTGCCTCGTGGCAGTCACTGCGCGATGAAGCTGTTCGCTATGCGTCTCCGTCCTGGAACGCTCACTTCTACGACACCATCGCAGAGCACATTCCAAACTACGTTCCGACTTCGCGCCGTGGAGCCTGGAAGGCAAAAGTCCAGCTCCCCAAAGGAGCCAAAAACGCCATCGCAGTCCTCGCCCAGAACGGCATCGACTATCAAGACAACGCGATAGACCCTCTGAAGTTCCAATATTGGGCAGATATCAGCCGCGACGGCACAGTCGAGATTGATCGCGTCGCAGCAGGGACCTACCGAGTCACCATGTACGCCGACGGCATCTTCGGCGACTACATCGAAGACGACATCGTCATCAGCGCCGGAAAGACGACACACTGCGGCACTCTCAAATGGGAAGCCGAGACAGCAGGCACTGAACTCTGGCGCATCGGTACCCCCGACAAAGCAGGCGGAGAATGGCGCCACGGCGACGTGCCGCTCAACACATCGCTTCACCCCCCGGAGTACCGCATCTACTGGGGCGCCTACGACTACCTGACCGACTTCCCCGAGGGCGTCAACTTCCACGTCGGGAAAAGCGACACGTACAAGGACTTCAATTACATACACTGGTCTGTGTTCGGTGGGTATGCGAACTCCCGCAGGCCGCAGCAGGTCGCTGGAAGCGGCGAGATCAACAACTGGACCATTACATTCGATGTCGACCAGCACGCTCTAGTCCACAAGGAGCACGCCACGTTCACGATCCAGCTGGCCGGAGCGAAGACGGCCGCCGGCAACACGGATACGTTCAACGCGACCCAGCCGTGGAACGACGTGCCTTTCGTCGTTGCGGTCAACGGGCACGAGCTAGAGCCTTGGATCATTCCGTCAGTACTGCCCTGCATCCTTGTTTTCATTTTCATCCGGCTAACTCTCATCAGCTACAATAAGTCGTCCTCGTGCGCGACTCGCAGCGCTGTCTCGTGCTACACGCTGAGCCACAAGTTTATGTTCCCGACAAGCTACCTGAGCAGCAACGCCACAAACGAGTTCGTACTCAGCTTACCGTACAACGCGACAGACTACGAGAGCGCGGTTCTGCCGAAGAGTGTTTACGTGCAGTACGATGCGCTCCGACTGGAGGTCAAGTAGAACTCGAAAACGGGGTCTCGCTCGAGTCAATCGCATTCCCGCTCGCAAAAGTCCTTGAAACGTCTTCCCAGATTCTGCTGTTATGTCTTTGATGTGCTTGAGAGATTTCTTGCGTTGTTCCTTATGTGTCTGATATTGGAGAGTTCTGCGATCATCCCTGGAAGCAACAACACACCATCACTCCTTTCCACTGCACCGTGCAGACCCCTGTGATGCGAGTGCTTGTTTTCAAGCGGTATGTGCATGTCCGAGACCCAACATATATCCATAGGTGATCAGCCTTTACGCGTGCTGCAGCGAGATGCGGTCTCCGGTTGCGGGAGGAACATAAACCTTCCGTGGCAATTTGTCTGCTTCAATCTCCAGTTCCAGTTCTGAAAATGCTCATACCACACATCCGAGGGTGTGTCGAGATCGGGGACCACTTTGGTGGCTTATAGAAACGGTCCCTCTACGGGTGAACCTCAGTGCTTTTCAGCTGTTTGATGAACTAATGAAATCATCGTTGGTGGCCGAGTGGCCGAGAAGGCCAGGGCCTGCCGCCCTCTGAGAAGGGTTCGAATCGAATACGCTGGGACAGGAGCAGCGGGAGACCATCAAGAGCCGGTCGCAGGCTCTTGCGGCGTCTGGCACGCAGTGCTATCCACAACAGCGTACCAACTCTCCGTGACTTTCATCTCCTGAGCCAGGCCAGGCCTCAGACGCTTGGCCCTCGCGATAGAATGGAATTCGGCAATCTTCGTACCATACGATACTGCCATGGACCACCCGATCGCCGACCGGGTGTAGTGACAGACCGCTGTAGACCCATGCTACGCATCAGTTTTCGCCAGGTCCGTACATCGAGCAGTGAGTGGCGCTAATAGAGTACGCGAGATGGCGCGTAGTACGTCAGTGGACATTCGAGTGCTATGATACGACAAGCCCATATTTCCTGCTACGACTGGCGGCCTTCTCCTACGTCGTCGAATTCCACCTTAGGATAGTTCGCGCTGGAGGGCCCCGATACGAAGCCATGCGATCGCGCTGCTTGAATCTCCAAATCTCTGTCGGTATCCTCCAACACCAGACTCTTCGCAAAAGACGCGCCGTCTTCTTTGCCTGGCGAAGCCGAACCCACCAGCGTCATCGACTGCGCACCTCTACTGCCATGGCTGTTGATGGGCGAGTCACGATTTTTCACACGCTGGCCTGAGGAAGCCGTGTAATGAGTCATGCGCGTCGCTACGCTTCTTGTTCGTGCTCGAGGGTGGAACGTCCATGGCTGCACGTTTTCGTTGAAGTCGCCGACCTCGAATAACTCACGCAGGATGGTCCAGGTGAATGGGATGTTGGCGACGATGACAGCCATTGATGATTCGCGAACGTACCAAAACATCCAGGTGCGCCCATAAGGACGTGCGAAGGAGTAGTAGCTGTTCAGTGCGGCGGCTGCAATGACGAAGATACCGATCGAGAAGATGCCGATAAGCACGAGCTTGCGTTTCCAAGGAAGGGTCGAGCGTATTAGCATCTGCAGCGCAATGGACAGCATGATGACGTCAGACGAGATGTTGAAGACTGCCTTGGTAATGCGGTGATGCAGCAGTGTGTCGCATTGGGTGGAGTTTGTGGGTACTGCATAGTACTCATGGAATGGGCGACACCAAACGGCGAAGTACAGAATTTGCATGACGACGTATCCAAGCGCCACATAGGCGGAGAGTACTTTGATCGCAATGTTCTCGTTGTGCAGAGCCGTGCGTGTCAGGCGGTAGTACATGACCAGCAAACACGCTTTGCAAGCCCAAATCACGGAGACTTGCATTTGCTCCGTGACGATCATCATTTTGCTGCCGTATACGCGCTGCGATAGTTGATCATCGCTGAGTGCGCTGAAGCTGTAGTTCGGATGCTCAAGATTGGAGCCAGCCTTGAACCATCTGTTTGATACAACCATTAATACGGTATAGGTGGTGGACACGAGAACGCCCATGATCCAGTCATCGAGTTGGAGGCCTCTGGTTGAGCGAAAAAGGATCCGGCGGGCGATGCTGTGACGTGTCAGCCTGCTGCTGCACAGCCTCACAATATGACAAGCTTACAGTCTGGCGATAATCATTCCAATGCCGCAGATGTACCATATCCACGACTCGCGACTAAATGGCGTGGCCATTGTGAGAGAAATACGTTTGTCGTCGCTGCTGCCAATTTTCCCTCGCTATCCGGGGTCCAGGTTGATATTCAAGACTGTCGATTGCCGAAATTGCATGTTGCGACGCGTGAGGTTGCACGTCCAATCCAACTGGACGCTGAAGGTCTGGTGGATTAATGAATTTGAAGATCGATGTGTGAAAATGCGAGATAGGCTACTGTCCAGTAGAGGCGAGGTGTAGGAAGAAGAGAGGAAGAAAGGGAGAAAGCAGAGCTGAGCTGAAGCTCCCGAGATAAGATGATGCGGTGACGGAGGCGCTGATGTGTGATTCGCTGATAGGCTCATTGCGGGGCGCCGCGCTAAGGAGTGCAGGTCACTCTCGGGAAGGGATCTACCGGCGCGCCCGCTCCCTGTCAACACCAACCTCTCGGATCCGCCGACCCGTTACTCGCTCGGCAACTCAAGGGTCTCCTTGCAAACAAATGTCTGTTCTCAACGTCCACAGTAAGATGTTATCCTTTTTCTACGAGACCTGAGAATTTATCTGCCCAATTGCATCAACCAAGATGGTGCGACACCAAGGCTTCAACTCGTAGTGCAGGACTGAGAGCGGGCAAAAATGACCGAATACATGGGTCACATCTTTATACTGGGCGCTGATGCGCAATAGGTCCAACTCTTTCGGTCTCGGCCACCAGTGCAAACTCCAGACAACGCCCCAGAGCATCACACGTGGCAAAGAACGCAGACTTCGGACAGACAGCCAGGTATAAGCACGCTTGCCAGTGACTCTCCAGAAACTGAATTCTCTACTGCCCGCCCTCGAAGCCTCCTCGACCACAGCACCATAATTATCAGCTCGGAGCTTATCATCGAGCACATGGACGCCGTCTCAGCAATCGCCGCTCCTGGGTAAGGCCCAAAGTATGGACAGGAGAAGCAAAGGTCGCGAAACAGGATACAACCAAGTCATGCGAGATGCGTACATGAAGTCAGTCCACGGAGAGTAGCTACATCAGGACCCCGCGTGTGACACTTAGGACCACGCAACGCCGTCAAAGGGAATTCAAATACCAGGAACTTCGCACCGCCCCCAAATCCGGAAGTGCAGTCAGCAAACCTCGCATTGCAAGCCCCCACATCCTCCTGCAACACCACTTCATTCCGGCAAAGTCCTCCCCATCTCATCCCACCCTGCAAACCCTTCACCGCAGGCGGCCCCCAAAGCCGTACCCGAAATACCATGGGAAATACGGCGGATCAACCCCATCACCCGCCGCGCTCGGCGGCCTTTGGGGCTGGCCCTGGAACGGGCTCACATAGCCGACGGGCGCCTGTGTCGCGCCGGGGAACGGGGCGGTAGTGGTCGTTGTCGTGAATGTGGTTTGTGTGGTGAGCGGCAGGCTGGTATCTGCGGGGGCTGCGATGCCAGTTGGGATGTTTGGGGGGAGGGGTGCTGTGATGGCGGTGTTGGGGGGAAGGATAGGGGTGGTGGCGCCGGTTGGCAGTGGGGTGGGGAGGCCGACTGGCAGTTCGCTTGGGAGGGAGGGGAGGACGGGGGTAGGGAGGCCGACTGGCAGTTCGCTTGGGAGGGAGGGGAGGGAGGGGGTGGGGAGGCCGATTGGCAGTTCGCTGGGGAGAGAGGGTGTTGAAGGCCCCGCAGAGGCGATGGGCGAGATGACGCCGGACACTACAGGCGCAACGACTGAGACGACGTCGGACACGACAGGATCAATGACTGAAGCGACACCTGAAATCACAGGGGGAATAACAGAAGCGACGCCCGATATCAGGGGTCCGACGACCGAAGCAACGTCCGAGATCACAGGGGCGACTCCAGACAGGACGCCAGAGACGACCGGGTCGACTGCCGATGCGGCTACGGAAGCGAGATCAGAAACCACAGGATTGACGATCGAAGCAACATCAGAGACGACCGGGTTCAGCACGGACGCTACGTCTGAGATGACAGGTGCAATGGCCGACACGACGGCGGGCACAACTGGGGTGATGAGAGGGTCTGCAGCGCCGAGGATGCCTGATACGACCGGTGCCACGGCGGCTAAGGCGGGGTCTGCAGCGTCGAGGATCTGCGACACAACGGGAGCGAGTGCGGTGATGCCAGGCACGACCGCTGAGATGACGGGTGTGAGGAGTGGGTCTACGGCTGGGATGATAGCGGATAGATCGGGCACCGCTGCAGAGAGTGCGGGTTCGAGCGCGGAGACCACGGGCGCTGCGAGGGGGTCTGCGGCGTCCAGGAGGTCGGAAACGACAGGTGCCACGGCGGACACGGCGGGTGTCAGAAGCGGGTTTACAGCAGAGACCACGGGCGCGAGAGCATCGGCCGCGGGAGCGATGGCTGGGTCGAGCAGCGACTGTACGGGCGCTAGCCCTGCTGCTACCGGTGAGAGTAGTGGTATCGCTGGAGCAAGGACGGGGGCCGCAGGTGCCAACAGCGGATCCAGAAGTCCAAGACCTGGGAACCCTGCAGGTGAGGAGGCTCCTGGCGCCGCGGCTGCAGGTGCCGACAGCTGATCCGGCAGTCCAAGACCTGGGAACGCTGCAGGTGAGAAGGCTCCTGGCGCCGCGGCTGCAGGTGCCGACAGCGGATCCGGAAGTCCAAGATCTGGGAATGCTGCAGGTGCCGACAGCGGATCCGGCAGTCCAAGATCTGGGGATCCTGCAGGTGAGAAGGCTCCTGGCGCCGCGGCTGCAGGTACCAACAGCGGATCCAGAAGTCCAAGATCTGGGGACCCTGCAGGTGAGAAGGCTCCTGGCGCCGCGGCTGCAGGTGCCAACAGCGGATCCAGAAGTCCAAGACCTGGGAACGCTGCAGGTGAGAAGGCTCCTGGCGCCGCGGCTGCAGGTGACGACAGCGGATCCGGAAGTCCAAGATCTGGAAACTCTGCAGGTGAGAAGGCTCC